ATAGTAAACATCATACCCAGGTATTGAAATTGGTTCACAATATCTATATCTTGCCCAGGGCAATGCCATTTTTCTAATGGTTTCAATTTTCCGCCATTTCTAAATGTAATAATTTTTTTCTACAATTACAGTTAAATCCCATTGAACATCGTAAGAATATAGAACATTCAACATTTGTTTCAGACCATGACATAGCCTTAAGAATCAGGATGTAATTAAATTAAATTCGATCCTCGCAAAACACCCTAACCCTCCTAAGCTTAACATCTCTTGACAGGTAGTTCATATATTACTTTTAATTTGAAAAACTGAGGTCAAGACCAACCAGAAAATTTCCGAGAATGATTGACTATTCGTATATATTCTTATGTAACACTGGTCTCAAACTACTCTAACCTTGAAGGTCATGATTTGAACAATCTTGAATATACATTTCCTAAGAATACTTGAATTTAAATAATAAAAAATCACGCCCATGATGTTCTTGAAAATATTTTTAAAAATAATTTCCACTATATTCCAATGTAAATCTTTGATTAGCAGTTTTTTGTATTGCCCTGAACAACTTAACAACAGCTTTGGACAACTTAAGTCTGCACTACTTCAGAATGCTTGATTGGGCCACAACGCTCACCTGAGTTACTTTAGACCTGCTGTTTTCCATCAGATTTTAAAGTGATGTTTACATCCCCTTTTATAGCCCCACCTTAGCTCTAACAGGGCGAAAGTTCAATAACAATATAACTTATATGACCTTGCGATTATCGAGAAAGAGGCCCTATTATGTATAAATGCATTATGTAAAATTTAATACTGGTTTTAGCCAACTTTTACCCGGGGTCCATAAATAAAAATCCTCACATTTAGGAAATGATTGCATTTTTACGACTCTATTGTGTTTCTTCAGATTTCTTATTCTTGTATAGTTACATGCAAAACACGCTACCCCTCTTGTAAACATTTTGTCGCCATGATATGGACAATTTAAATTCTACATAAATAGGCATAAATTTTATACCCCTGTTCCAAAGAAGTTGGGGTATACTGTTTTATCCGTTAGTTTCTATGTGTCTATCTGTCTTTCCTTAATAAATTTTCGGCAGTTTTCTCAGCACCTATTCTTCACAGATACTTGCAATTTTAGCGCACTCTTTGTTTTGCCACATCATATGGTGGGATTCATTTTATACGAATTTGATGTCAACTTTCTGTCTCTGCATCTGTGTCTGTGCATCATTCACATCAAAGCAGGGGTATAACTAGTGATCATTGGCTCACAGACTTCTTGTTGACCAAGTTGGACCAAGTTGGTCTGGTGAGGAGGAATGATATTTTCTTATAAATGCAAGTAAAACTTAAATCCCCTATACTGTTGACCCAGTCTATCCCCACAAAAATCTTGCATTCTACATCCCGCGAGAACACTTTCATTCAATATCTGGTCTATTTTTTCTTAAAACTGTTAATAACCTAACCCTACTTCTACTTTATTTTGTTATATCCCGTTGGAAGAGGGCATGGCCTTTCATGTGTGTCAAGTATGGTAAACTAGAACTGTCCAAAAGGGACAAATACCCCCCGCTGGGTTTTTCAGAGAAAGTACCAAATCACTAATGTTTTCTAGATGTGAGAGGTGTTCACAATTTGCTTAAACATTTACAGTGAAAATTTAATTACTCATTATATTTTTTATACGCCCGTCTTAAGACAGGACGTATTATGTTATAGCATTCATGTCCGTCCGTTTGTTAGCTTTTTCATGTCCAGCTCATAACTTTAATACTATTAGGCCTAGAATTATCAAACTTTGTCAGCTGATACATCTAGGGTAGAAGGTGTGTCGCACATTAAAACCAGGTTGCTCTGACCTTTATTAAAGATGCTATGGCCAAATATGGAAAAATCATAACTAGAAAACCATTAGACTTAGAATAAAAAAACTATGTCTTTTAACTTTTAAATTACACAATCCCAAAAGATGTCAGAGTATTGCAGTATCTTTATTAAAAAGTGTTAAATCAAGAAAACACTAGTCTTATTTTTTTCATTATGTTCTTTACAGCAATCTGTAACAAGAAAAATTCCACCTCTCCCATGGGTGTAATGATCAGGCACTGGTCAAGGAAAATTTTGATAGCAGAAAATTGCATGTCAAATTAGAGATAAATTAATGAGTTTAGTGTGAGGAGATAACTGGTAGAGCATCTCTGATCAAGCAGGTGTTATCTACATCTCTTGGGAATTGGGCAAAAGGAATCAGTCTCTTAATTAATTGCTTGTGTTGTATTGAATTGTTCTTGTTGGCTAGTCTTACTTTCAAGATAATTTTGATGTAATTAAAACTAATTTGATATTGTATATAATAATTAAAACTTATATGATATTGTATAATATAATTTAAATTAATTATTTATTGTACATTTTTTATTTTAATTTTTATATCTTTACAACAAATTGCAGACTGCCTTGTCTCACCAAGATGTCATTCGAACAATTGAATCTAAACTGTTTATGATAATTTAACAATATTTGATGGGTGTATCATGCTGTGGTGGGGCACTTTATTTCATGAATGAAACTAAGGTGCAGCCTAATAAAACATCAATACTAATAATTACAGTGTTATTTATTACATTGAAAAAATAGTTTGCAACTATCTGCCATCTTTGTGAGACATGACACTCTGCAAATTAATTGTTGAAAAAAAAATCATAATTAATTATACAAAATCAAATTGATTTTAATACCTTTATATCAAACTCATTTTAAAAATAAAAGGCTGGTTCCAGTAATTATGTATTTTGACAGACATAAATTACAATTAAGAGACTTAAACAACAGAGATCTTTATTTCTTTCTTCCCAATTCCCTGGAGATATAGATAAGACCTGCTTGATCATAGATGCCCTAACAGCTTCCCACACTGAACTCATTAATTAATCTTTAACTGGATGCATGTCCACTCATTACTCCCAAGGGACAAATGGATTTACACTATCTGCTGTGTAATGTAAAAACTGTTTTTAATACTTTGTGATTTTTTTTTTTTAGTTCTAATGAGTAGTTTTAAGCTGTAGTTCACATTTTTGTACAGATGTTCTAGATTCTATGTCTCAAACCTTTGACATGAACCCGAAATGACTCAGTCAATAAAAATTAAAAAAAAACACCTGTAAAATGTAGAAAAATTATCAAATAATGTTGAAAATACCAGGTGCACATCTTCATATGGTAAATAATAAGTGTACAAATTTTCATACAAATCTATGCAATAGTCTCTGGGAACTGATCCAGACAAAACCACATAATAAAAATGAAAAAAACACCTGTAAAATGCAAAAAAATTATCCAATCATGATGAAAATACCAGGTGCACACCTTCATATGGCAAAGAATAAGTGTACAAATTTTCAGACAAATCCTTGCAACAATTTCCAGGAAATGGTCCGGACAAAATCTCGTCTACAGACAGACGGACAGACAGACAGACGGACAGACAGACGGACAAGCTGATTCCAATATACCCCCCTAAACTTCGTTTGCGGGGGGTATAATAATTCTCTTGTCAGTCGAAAATGTTAAAAGTATACAGATAGACAGACAAATCCCAAACATCGGGATATCAGCTCACTAAGGCTTTCAGCTTAAGTAAGCTGGAACAGCTCACCAGGGCTTACAGCTTAAATTAGCTGGTATAGCTAGCAAGGGCTTACATCTTAAGTGAGCTGGATAGCTTACAACGGTCAACACATCCTGTACCCCAGGATACATCATCTAATAAGACGTATAAACCTGTCTTCATAGCTATGAATAATATTAAAGTTTTAAAAGTTTCATCTTCTATTTATCTGCTCTATGGATACACCAAAATGACTAGCATTAAAATGTCAAATATGACAAATTGTAGTCCTTAGTGAAAATTAGACCATAACGTAACACACAAACATTATACCTGACAACTTTTCTGTAAACATTAGCTATAGGTTCATCATCAAAATATACAGAATTTAGTAGATCTGTTGAATTTCATACCTGTCCATTTACTATATAAAATTAAACTACTTCTCATCAAAACACACTACTCTGCTAGTAAATTTACTTACAGTCCCATTTCACTTGCCAAAACGTAGAAAATTATTGACAAAACATAGCCCTTACTGCAAATCTTAGACAACTTTTAATGTCTGTATTCACCAAAAATATGAATTACTGATAATGTACGCACTAAGACAATCACTGATTACTGATAAAACTGTTTTACTCACAAGCCTAGACAAGTTGTTTTCATCAGGACAATTACTGATAACCTTAAATAACAAATTATGACAATTACTGATAAAACACTGCATTTACAAACTATGACAATAATTAAAAATACACTATGTGAACATAGTAAACATAAATTTAAAGGTATTACCTGACAAACTTTGACAATTTACTGACAACCTCTCACATATACTGATAATGTATTGTTTATAGACAAATTTTGACATTAATTCATAATGAACGAATCACTGAGAAAACTCTGACAATTACTGATTATGTATTTTTCACTGAAAATCTTTGACAATGACTGACTATTTACTGACAAACTCTGACATTAATTCACAATGTACTGACATACTTTGACTATTATTGATTATGTAATATTTACTGTGACAATTTTTGATAATGTACTATTTACTGACAAATTTTGACAATTTATGATAATTTAATGTTTACTGACAAACTTTGATAGTTCCTGATAATGTACCATTTACTGACAAACTTTGATTACTACTATGTAACGTTTTCTACTGAAATTATTAATTATAATTTTAACTGTGTATGATGAGAAGCATTTTGAAAGGCTGTTTAAAAACAGACAGACAAAAGATAGATAAAAGAATGACAGACTCCTGGCCAAAACATAAGCTTTCTTGTAGTTTAAAAAAAATGACAAATCAAAAAAAAAAATGTTAAGTTTGTATAATTACCTTTCTTTAAATAAAAGTTCATATTATAACATTATAACATATAATAACTACATACAAATGTATATGACGAAATAGGCAGTGGATGGACATAAGTTGATATGTTTATACATCAGAAAAACTTATATTTTCCATAATCTTGTACTGATCCTAACCAGCAGAGAAACTCAGCCATTTTTAGTCTGTCCTCAGCTTTAAGAATGTCAAATGACTCGGTGTACATTATCTTCCCTGGATTATCAGATGATCCTATCTCTCCCTTACATATGGATATTGAATGCTCCAGTGTGATTTTGAGGAAAACAAAAATTAACTACAATAGAAACAAGAGAACTGTAAACAACATGAATATTGTAGTTTTTTTACTACAATTAAGAAGTCAATTATTTGCTGAGGGGGAACCTCCAAAAAATGTCTGACCAGACAGTAGGAGGTCAAAATGGCACCATTACATAATCAGAATTCTGTGAAAGCCTCATTAAATTTTATTCAGTGGTATAAGAGGAGTTATGGACAACAGTTGGATACTCTCAGTAGCAGATATATAGACATAGAAATGGAAAGATGTACACTCCCATCATTATATACTCGTAAAGCCAGAGGAAATAATTAGTGTTAGAGTAACATCAAAAAAATATTGAGATTTATTCATTTACAAGAAGTACAGAGAAAAGATATATTTTCATGAAACTTAAATGAAAAAAAAATCGATAACTTTTGTCAACTCAATCTGTAACGTTTTACTTGTAAATCCTTCCTGAATCTTAAAAGTAACAGGTCTAAAGAGGTAACCTTTAATTTTCAATCCAAGACAGGCTACTGAGAGATAAGCTGATGTTACAGAGATTTCAACAACATGGTTTAAAGTCAGTTTTCGTAAACTCTGTTGTTGTTATAATGACCTTGTTAGCAAAATATAACCTATCAGTGAGTCATATTTTAGCTGACTTGTTTCATACACATTGTTAGGCCCTTGTTTTTACACTAAATTTGACTATGGAATGTTCCATCTCTTTGATCAATGCATAGGGCTCACTGCAAGTGTGACCGGTCAACAGGGGATGCTTACTCCTCCTAGGTACCTGATCCCACCTCTGGAATTTCCTGGTTTATGCCCTCTTCACAGATTTGTTAAAAGCAAACCTGTTTACCCATATTGTTGATTCTCAGTATTTTTTGTTACATTTGTCAGTGAGGTTTGACATTTGCCCGTAAAATTTTACTTTCCATCGATTTTACACATATTACTAGAGAAACCACCGCATTTTTGGCAACCCGACATCACTTAAGTGTTTGAAATATTTCTTTTTTAGTGATTAAAAAGCGCCAAACTGAGACAGATCATAACGAAAACTAACTGCTAAAATCCAAACGAACGGATTTCGGATTTTCTGTATTTTCATTAAAGCAAAACGTGAGACCTATTATGGACTCAAAATCCGTAAAAAATACGGCGAAATTGTAAGAGTAAACAGGTCTGTAAAAGATTTTTTAAGATTTATCACATTTTGTTATTTTCACCCTTTTCATTAATCAAGTCAGTAGAAAATGTATTATTTAAGATGTGCCTCAATCATTTGAATTTACTACTGTAGACCCTCTTTAATCTGGAAGTTAAATCTCATAAGCAAATAGTCCAGATAAAAACTAGAGTTATGTCTTAAGGGCATGAATGCCCCATCCATGGTTCAATAGTAATGCAACATGAAAATTTGTATTAGTGTATGGAGTTCGATTAAAATACCTTGAATAGTTTCTGTAAAGCTGAATTTAATACAAAATAAATAATATTTACATTTGCAAATGTTTTCCCTTATATAACACTATTCTAAGCAAGGGGTATTTAATTCTGTGTAAAAACAGGTTTGTCCTTAAAATTCATTGTTCAGTCATAAATGATTCACGTAATTTCACAGTGACATCATAAGGGGTAGACGAATTTCAACACATTCGATTTATACCGTTGAGGTTTGAAAAAATTCAATCATTTTATGGTTTTAAAAGTCAAAGGTCATTGGGACATTCAAGATGAAAAGAAATGGAAAAAAATTGATAAATTCTTCGAAAAAAAAGTGGGCGCATATAAGCTTACATATAAATATCTGGAATAGTTTCTTTGAGCTTAAAACAAATTTGAGAAAAGTGAGGTCAAGATCAAATGAAAGGTCAAGGTAAAAAAAAAATACTGGTGATGTTGAATAGTTCTCCCTAATATGTAACAGCATTTGGTGTTTGGTAATGAATGTTAATTTGTACCTTGAAAACAAATAACAGAAAGGTGATGTCAAGGTAAAAGGCAATGTTAAGGTAAAAATATTGAAGCAAATGAAAAGCTCTAATTTATATGTATAAGCATATGAAGTTTGAAAAAAATATCCTGAATACTAGTATATTTCCTTTGAAATTTAGTTTAACACATTAATGAAGTCAAGGTCAAAGGAAAGATCAAGATAAAAAATGTCGATGCAGTTGAATAGCATTTGCCAATATGTATCAGCATGTAAGGTTTAATAAAATCTTTGAAACTAGGCACACTACGCTAAAAACAAAGAACTACGAACGCAAACTCTTGATTCCCATCTTATTCAACTTGCATTTTGGCCATTACAACTTACTTGAATACAAAGAATAGTTCATTAGTAATTGATTTATTAATTAAACCAAGCATCAAAATGTTAATTGCTTTTTTTACAACTCATTTCATAAGGGGGATGGGGTGGGGGTATGTAAAAAAAATTATACATTGAAATCAGGCTTTAAAACATCACCAAATTTTCAAATATGCATGGAAATGGATAAATGACCCTTAAATCTGTCTGTATGTTAAGTTTTTGTAAAATTCAATGTATAATTTTTTTTTAAAATTTGTCATAGCATTTGAAATCAGTTTCAGTTTTGCTGTTTTATGCCCCCCCCCCCCCCCCAATGAAACATAAAAAGCTTTGGTGTGAATTTATGAAATGACACTTCATAATACCTGTAAAAAAAAGATTTGTTGTTACACAGGGGGGGGGGGGGGATATGTTTTGAAAATATTTTCTGTTTTTGATTGATATTTATACTGAAAAACATGTTTTACCAAAATCATAGAGTTATCTCTCTTTGTTCATCCAAATAGATTAAGTTTATGTTTTGTGAAAATTCACATAAATATCTATATAAATATGAGAAATCATTAAAATCATGAAAAATACTATTATTCACAGTTCTTTGAAGTAAAGGTCAAAAGAAAGGTCAAGATGAATAATGTTGTTGCCATTGAATAGCTCTCATTAATATGTATTGGCATATAAAATTTGATAAAAAATTTCTTGACTACTTTCTTTGAAACTAAGCCTAACACAATTTTGAAGTCAGATTAAAAGAAAAGTCAAGATTAAAAATGTTGATTTCATTGAATAGCTCTCATTAACTCTTCAACATTGAGTAACTCAAGATCTCCAGAGCCTGGTACACTGAGTAACTTTGCTCATCAGTAGCCAAAATGGGTACCGTTAGAAAAATCATCATAAAATCTTTATTTCTTTATCAAATTTATTAAGTAATACATCATTGAAAAGGCAATTAATTCTCTATGAGGATATGTAAATTTCATGAACAATTACAAGTAAAATTAAAATAATATTGTAATTATAAAAAAAATCATTTGAAAATTTAAATTTTCGTAAATTTTGATTAATTTCCTGCTATGAAGTTTTAAAATTATACAAATTCTTACCATCAATTGAAAGACAAATATTTCCTGAACAAAATGATATAAAACATGATAAGGTTTTATCAACACAAGTCCAAAAACATTTCAAAGGTTTTATCAACACAAGTCCAAAAAAATTTCAAATGAATGATGTCACTGTTTCTCTAAAAATCAGAGTTTTTCATCACCAGTCACAAGTCAATAAAATGTGTACACTTTTCACTAGTTAGCTTTAGTTTCTTCAAGTTTTCACTGCAAAAGTCTACTGCCAGTAATAGACTTTTGTGTGGTAGTCTTTGAAGCAAGTGCTTCTTGCATTACAGCACAAAGGAACATTGCATTTTTCGCATTTCATGGTGGTTTTTGTTTGTTTAATTGGATTTTCGGCCACAGAACATCCAGGATGACTGTTTTCGTACAATACATGTTTCTTGTTACACAAAACACACACTGTATTGCCACTTCCAGTACTGCAGGCCAGTGGGATTTTTCGTGAAGTCGAATCTCTGGTTGTGCATCAAGTGAACGGGGACACGGACGTTTGAATCCTCTCCTTTCCTGGCAGTAATCACCTATAAGTTGGTGAGCAACATCAAGTCGATAGCTGAGCATGTCTCGTTTCCTTTTGTTTCTTGGATTGTGGTCCAAAACAATTCCCTCTTAGACATATGAATTGTACAGAGCTACTTCTCGCAGGCGGATTTCAATCTTGCGGTACCAGCGAAGGGATTTTTTGGACTTGTGGTCATCTTCGACATCTGATAAAGTCTGTCAACACCACCCATGTATGCAGCATAACCCTTCACTTTGGTGTGACAGGAAGCTCAACTTCAGTGCCATCTTTGTTCTTTCTGGTGTTGACGAGATCATCTTCTTCTGGTCTGTGGTATGACGATCGATAATACACGAGCGCAGCTAGGTTAAGGACGCCCACGAAATATACGCCTTTAATATATTCAGGGAAAATGAATACAATTTTAATATTTTTTTAACAGCATTAATTTTGATAAATGTGATTTGTGGTGTTTGCACTTGTATATGTCGGGTCTCTGCTGAGTTCGGCCAAAGCGACATCGCTTACATCAGCTGTTTGTCACGTGACAGGTTTAAAATTAGAACATATAGGTACTACTACAAAGATCGTAAAAGTTCAATGATATACTGGCATTTTTCCACTATAAAATTTATTCTGTTTTCTTTGAGACAAATTCTTAACACGAAAAGTGCTGGAAGCAACTTCCTCATTCTCGAGAATTGTTTAAAATTTAGCCATCTTTCTATAAACTCCAGTCAAAAAAGTAATTTGCAATTGAATAATGTTACATTACGGAATAAATCAACCATGCACAACCAGCTCCCAGCATTTTTCAGAATAGTAAGAATAATAGCTACACGTGTTTAAAAATTCAGAATTTATAGTGAAGTGGATATCGTTGAACTTTTGATATTTTCGAGGGGCTGGACCTGTCATTCTAGCATGTTACTGTACAAATGTGCTCCCTACTGCTTTATATAAAGTCTACACATTATCAATTTAGTTTGACAATAAAATGTGGATTAACATATTTCAGAATATTTCTCTCTTTTGGTCCGACTACGCGTGTTTCATATTTTTTTTTTTTAACAAGCTACAATAAAAGCTTGATCCACACCTCAAGTACAGAGAAGCTGTGTGTCAAACTAAGAAAAGACGTCATCTCAGTAAGTACAGCGAGATCAAGCTGGCTTTCATTCTACATACGCTAAGTGCTATTATGGCAAGATAAGTTGCACACCCATTTATCTTTATAATATTTATGATAAACGAAAGTATTAAGTGTGTTTTAAAAAGAACATATAGTATTTATTCATCGGATTCATTTGTATTGCTTTAATGTGACGTCATAATAGCTTTACCGAACCTCTGCATAGGCTGACGTATATATGGGAGTCTTTAACCTAGCTGCGAGGCGATTGTCCTTCCAATATTGTGCCAACATTGTCCACACATCAGCCAGTCTGACATGCCTCTCCTTGCATCTCTTGCTGCAGGAATCATGGCTTTGGGATATCCTTTTCTGCTGGGCCTAACTGTACCACAGAAATAAGTGTTCTGTGTATACAAAGTTGGACTAGTATAAAAATTGTCCGTGTAAATGACGTACCCTTTATTTTCAGGGGCAATAAATAAAAGGGGTGTTCGATTAGGCTATTGTATAGTGTAACTGTTGAATATTTAAATGGGCTAGATCCTATTGTATTGCAGCAAAATTGGATATATGAATGAACTAGATATGTCGTTATCACCACGAATGCCCCTGCAAGCAGGCAGAAATTCAAATGCAATATTTAGTAGTTTTATATTTCAACTTGACCCTATTTATATAATAGTGTTGTGCTTTTTCATGCACTACTGTAAATCTGGTTCATGCACTACTGTAAATCTGGAAATTTTTACGTCAATTTATTTTTGCGAATCTGGGTCAAAAGTCTGTTGATTAATTTTTAAGTTTAAAATTTTTGCAAATCGTCATTTGAAATAAAGTATATAAAGCTCTTAAGATTTTCTTATACGTTTGTAAGTCACGCATGTACATACAATAAATTACGAATAAACATACAATATTAAACTATGCCAACGTTCAATAATCAGAAAAAAAATTAGAAAAGATAAATCATCCAAAGTGTTGAAAGTTTTCATAACATTTTTCATAAATCACACATGTACTTAGAATATATATAATGATGTAATCTTTAGATAAAGACATTTTTTGTTGTTGATTTATTTTTAAGAAAAATATTTTTGCGAATGTAATCATGCGCAAATTTGCTAAAAATTTATCTACAGCAAAAATTTTCAGATTTACGGTATGCCTAAAAAGTAGTCAGGGTTTGACGCATGGTGCACGAGGCAAGTGCACTATTTGTCAAACCCTGACTACTATTTAGGCATAGTGCATGCAAAGTACAACACTATTGTTATTATTATGCTGACTGTTGTATAAAAACAACAATATTTTCTCCATTTCCAGTGTTTCATCACCTCTTACAAACATGTTAGTAGACCCTATTATGACGTCACATCCTGCTACATGTACCTCATAATCTTTTTGTCAAATATTTGAAATTAAGGTTATATATATTAAAATACAGTGGTCTAGATAACGGTGTACGTGGTGTAATCGGTAGTGCATCGGACTGACAATCTCGGGGTCATGAGTTCAATACCTGGCATGGGCGCTGTCACATTTTCCTTAGAAAATGAAGCTGTGCACTATTTTGGCATAGTATGCTTATGCTATATAAATCCTTTGAACACTGTGCAATATAGTTGGGTATTGATTATATAGAGACAAACTGACAGGAAACATAATAATTTCTGGTAAAATACCAGCATATGCAATTTCAACATTATACATACATCTCTACAAAAGTTAGAGAGCGGAAACTGAAAATTTCTTATTTTTTCCTAAGTTCAAGAACAATAACTGTCAAAAATCATGGAACATGACCAAATTCAAACTTGACCTATGTATTCCTAAGGCATATCCATATGTCAAATTTGAGTTGAATGTGTGCAACCATTGCAGAGATAATGAACAGAAAGTGAATGACGGAACTGGATAACACTATATGCTACTGCCATTTTATGGCGGGGGCATAATAAATGTTTCTTTGGGGTCCAAAGTGGAGATTTTTTTAAAGTAAGATATATAACTTGATGGTGTTAAATAGTTTACAGAAAACATACCCTCAGAGGGTCTTTGGTCCTCAGAGGGGATTTTTCTTTCTCTCATCTTTTCAACACCATCTCATTATTTATCCATTATATAAATTTTGTAAAAAAATTAAACTGTAAGGTTCTTATAATTCATTGTTTGTACTGGTTAAGAAGTTCTTACTTTTGTTTCCATACAGAGGATTCCAAGAGAACTGGGATAAAATACTGAACACATGGACTGGCCAAGCAGCTCTGCTCCGACTTGTGCCATCACTCTGGTGCCAAGTTGTTTTTCAATATCTACTGCACCTTGATTAACTGGAGCTTCTTTTACCTACAGTTTAGATTTAAAATTTGGATTAGTAGCACAGGAGAATGCACAAGACATTGCAACATCCTGAACTGAAAACCCTGTTATTTAATTTTTCTGGGTTTTTTTTCACTAGTTTGTCAAATGAACAATTTGTAACATATTATATTTTGTAAAGTAATAAAATACTATACTTTGTTGCAATTAAAATACCACATTTTAATCTCAAGATATTTGAAGTTAAAGCAGTCAAAAATCTCATTTTGTTACTTTTTTCCAGAACAGTTTTTTTTAAGATTGCTATGTGCTAATATGGTATAAAGAGAAATGCTACTGAGGGTTTCTAAATGCAAAAGCAATGATGACTGGCATGCAATTTCAAAATCTTCTTCATTTTTTTAAGAGAAATACTAACTGGCTCAAAAGATTCATGTGCTAAAATGAGATTCAACTTGCCCCATATTGATTTTATTTTTCATGGTCCTGCTGTTCTAATAAAGAAGATTTTTGTACGCAGCTAGGTTAAGAACGCCCAGGAAATATACGCCTTATATATTCAGACAATTTTAATTTTTTTCAATGGCATTAGTTTTGATGAATGTGCATTGTGGTGTTTGCACTTGTATATATCGGGTCTCTGTCGAGTTCGGCCAAAGCGACATCGCTTACATCAGCTGTTTGTCACGTGACAGGTTTAAAATTAGAACATACATGTACTTCTACAAAATTGTATAAGTTCAACGATATACGTGTATCTTTCTGCTATAAAATTTATTCTGTTTTCTTTTAGACAATCTCTTTAATCTGAAAAGTGCTGGGAGCAACTTTCTCATCAAAGATCGTAAAAGTTCAAATACATTCAGGCATCTTTTTGCTATAAAATTTATTCAGCTTTGTTTTAGTTTTTTTGTTTTTGCTGGGAGCAACTTCCTCATGCTTGGAAATTGTGTAAAATTAAGCCTTTATTCTTCTATAAACTCCAGACATAGATGTAATATGCACTGGAGTAATGTTACATTACGGATTAAATAAACAAAGCACAACTAGCTCCCAGCACTTTTCAGAATAGAAGGAATAATAGCTACATGTGTCTAAAAATTCATAATTTTTAGTGAAGCAGATATCGTTGAACTTTTGATATTTTCTAGGGGCTGGACCCCGCATTCTAACACGTTACTGTACAAATGTGTTCCCTACGGCTATATATAAGGTCTACACATTATCAATTTAGTTTGACAATCAAATGTGGATTGATATATTTTAGAATAACTATTTATTCTGGTCCAATTAAGCTTGTTTCATATTCATTTTTATTTTAACAAGCTATGATAATACCTTGATCCACGCCTCAAGTACACAGAAATCTCAGTTAGCAGTGTTTTCAATAAGAGCCAGCAACCGGCAAAATTAACCGCCTGTACGAGAAATTTTGCCGGCTATTAAATTTCAGTCACTGGGATTTTGTCGGAGTTTGTACATGAAATCCATAGATTTTTATCACGAATATCTACATGAGCTAGAGTTACTTCCCTTGAGTGTGCTCTTTTTCATTGAAGTTTGATTTGATCCAGTAAGTACGGTACTACAACTACTGAACAAGGCTACAGCTACAACTTGCAAGAATAAAGTTTAAAGAATAATTTTTTAAAGAATAATTCCAACCTCATCATCATATAAAATTCACAACTCAACAATTGTGATTTAACTTTAGCTTTACAGGATAGGATCAAGATTATTGAGAATTTGGGGCTTCATTGACATGGCCGGTCTAAAATGTCGAACAGGAAAATAAATGTTTTTTATTAAATATTCACTGTCACTGCACACGCTAGGTCAAGATTAACACAACAGCAACTATTTATATCTAGGCTATATTCTACATACTCAACAGTCAGGGGTGAGACTGAAATCCGTCATTTTTAAAATGACGATTTTAAGCCATAAAATAAAATTCTTATTATGACTTAAACTCGTCATTTTTAAGAAAATGACGAAAAACAGTCATAAAAATTTAGAGTGTTTCTAGAATACCGAGTTACCTCTCTTTGAAAAATGTTAGATCCACCAACCGAAAAAAGGACAAAAACATCGTAAACGAACTTCATTTCTCTAATACAGTTGACTACAATACTGGTTATGTTGACAGTATAAATTTCCCAAGCAAAAATAAGAGTGGAAGAGTTATTTGTCAATTTATTTGCATTAAATAGGAAAGAAGACGAAAATGACGATATTCCGTCTTTTTTTCAAAATGGAGGGTCTGGGCGCACTGAAATATCTCGCTTGTTTTACGGGGCGCACTACTTTTTTATGGCTTTAACTTTTTGTCAAGACTTTTCTCTACAAGTACGTATTCTTCCATACGGTGTACTATATGTTTTTATAGGGCTAAAAGCCATGTAAAAATGGCGAATTAGTTCTACCAAAATTCGACATTTTACCGCTAAATAATAACTTTCACCTTCCATGTTGATGTTCTAACGCACATGGTCGGCAGTAATTAGTGACCCGGATGAAATGAAACTTGCATAAACACTCCTTTTTCAGCGGTGAATTCAAATTTCGCTTTTATGTAACCAGGATAGAAGAATTAAGTTGAAAAAGAAAATATGACGATAGTAAGTCATATTGACAAAAATGACGAAAATACGTACTTAGTAAATATGATGATTATCCATCATTTTTCAAAAATGACAGATTTCAGTCTCACCCCTGACTGCTCAAAGTGCTATTTTGGTAAGATAGGTTGCACATCCATTTATCTTTATAATATTTATGATAAAAGAAAGTATTTTAGTGTGTTTTAAAAAGAACTTATAGTATTTATTCATCAAGATTCATTTGAATTGTTTTAACGTGATGTCATAATAGCTTTCCAGAACCTCTGCATAGGCTGACGTACCTATGGGAGTCCTTAACCTAGCTGCATAATGCATGTCCCCATTTTTTTCTGTTAAAAACTTTGACCCCCTAATGTACTAAAGCAATATTACTTCTACCTTAAAACCACGATATAATCTTTTATTACGGGAGCTTTTGTCTTTCTGGATAAGTGAAAATTTCTTACACAATATCTAAAACGAGGTAAGTTTTTGAAAAACAAGTTGATGAAACAAGAATATCAGCAGTATCGTTTAAAGTCATCATTTCGTACGCTCTACAGTCAATACAATGACCTTGTCAGCAAATACAATCTATCATTAAGTCAAATGCTGACTGACTTTTTTCTTACTAATTGTTAGGCCATTATTTACACACTGGTCAACAGATTTTGCCTTCATTTCCCGATCACGACAAGGAGCACACAGCAGGTGTGATCGGTCGGCAGGGGGTGCGCACTCCTCCATGGCACCTGATCCCACCTCTGATGTTTTAGAGGTCTGTGTTTGCTCTTCTCCTATTTTTTAATGTTTAATGGACTTTTGAGCTCGAATACTGTTGGTTATCTCCACATATTTCATTGCCTTTAAAAGACAAAAAGAGTTCCATTTTTGGACTAAAATTACCTCCAAAAGAAAAAAAAGTTCTTCCTCTGTCTTCCTCTCAGAAAAGAAATGATAAACCAAATCAGGGTTGTTCCTTTCCACTCTATTATTACAGGTGAAGGACCGGCATGGTATTTCACTGAAACACAAAATATTTTCTATAAACACAACTTATATGTTTAAATTTAATTAATTTTCATATGAATTCGAAGTACTATAGATTTTAAAACAGTGATGGTTGTATGTTTTCACTCATTTTGTGATGCCACCACTTAGCTGTTTGAGGGCCACAAATTTAGATCTGTATTAGTACTTACAGCCTTTGAGCAGCGAGGGAATTTTTTTCATGCAAGCACTTTAATATGGGTCCTAACTTTATATGGTCTCATGTAAAGGACTGGTCTCCATGCAGGGTTTGACATTAACTTTTATGAGTACTAGACCAGTCGGGCTACATCCTATAATTTTTACTAGCCCTGACTATAAAATCACTAGCCCTGACCAAACTTGCAAATTTTATTTATTACTTAAAATCACTAATTTTAATGAGGTAAATAATTTTGAAATCGTTTCTCTTGCGCATTAAGATTTTTACCGACTAGCCAATTGAGTCAAATAAATTTTTTTATCCTAAATATTAATAAATTAATTGCAGACTATATTTTTTCAGTAACTATTTATACCATATTGATACTGAACGACGCTAGTTTCTACCGCAACTTCTCTATTACAGCTGTGGCTAAAAATAGCAACTGTGTCAAATGGGGATTCTTGGCTGTGTTTATTATCGAACAAATTAAGAAAAATTCTTTAAAAGTTTTTGGAATATTAATTTGAAAGACTGAAATGGGTTTTAACAGTTATTTTATCAACACGACCAATCGGTCTAGTTCACGTACATTTTACATGACCAGACCACTCATTTACTAGACTGGGTCGGTCGGACATGCCTTAGTGTCAAACCCTGCCATGTAACGCAGTGGGATTCCAACCTGCAGGATCAACTCCAGAGCAAACGCTCTAACCACTGCACCATGCAGGTGACTGGAAACGTCTGAAATATTACTCCTCTGGATTTGTAAAATTTGTGGGCCACAATGTTCACCTGCATAACTTTGGCCCTGCAGTTCTTCACCAGATTTTCCCCCTTGTAATGCTTACTGTGGCCCTACCTACTCCAGTGGTCATGATTTGAACAATTTAGAATATACACTACCCACGGATGCTTCATATAAGTTTCAGATTTTCTGGCCCAGTGGTTTTTGATAAGATTTTTTAATGATCTCACCCTATTTTTGACTTTTCTTGATTATCTCCCCTTGTAAGGGGGGAAGGTCCTTCATTTAACAATTTAAACTCCCCATCACCCAAGGATGCTTTGTCCCAACTTTGGTTTAAATTGGCCCAGTGGTTTTGAGAACAAGTTGAAAATGTGAAAAGTTTACAGATGGACGGACAGATGATGGACAACCAGTGATCAGAAAAGCTCTCTTGAGCTTTAAGCTCTGGTGAGCTAAAAATCATAGAAATTAATTTTAATGCAGACCATTACACTGTACTTTTTCAGAACAGCATCTTGTTCCTCTGGAGATTTCTTTTTTACAAATTCTAAACAGTGCAAGTCTAGAACACACGTATATCCAATGGTTAAACTCAGTGTGCATCCTGATTAAATTATGCTTAAATTTTGCTCAGGATGCACAGTTTCAATAAATGTGCATCAAATGGACACAATGACATCAAAAAGACATATATTATTTTTATTGGGGGGGGGGGGGGCAAAAAACTGACTCATAAAATAGTTTATTGTAATCTTAGCAAGATTTGTACAATTTTATACTGGCATTCCTACAAATACCACAAACAAAATAAAGTTGGTCAATGTAATGGTTTAGGCCCTGGATATCAGTCTGGGTTGCTCAGTTTGTAGAGCACCAGACTAGTATTTACTGTAATGCAGAGGGGTGGGTGGGAGTTTGGGCAGGTTTAATTCCTGATCCAGCTATACCACTGTATACATTTTCTCCTTTCCTGCTAAATAACTTAGTACCATTGGCACCCCTTTCCTGTTACCAATTTAAGACATCCACTTGGGAACTGATCTACTTGAAGGTTTTTAACTTTATCTAGAGAATAAATGTCACAGCATCCAAAACAGTAGTTCTGAATTTATTTCTGCCATGTTCATAACTATGGATTTTAGAGACATTGAAAGCTACCAATTATATTCCTTTTTCTGATCTGGAAGGTCACACTGTGCTTTGTGCCAATGTGATACACATTAAATATACTAACCCTTTTTTCAAAAAGAACATCCCTCCAAATACTTCAAAATAATTCTGGAAAAAATTGTCAGGATATTTAACACACACTGTATCACCATGATGACCCTGTGACCTTGTGTGTCCTCTCCTCCTTTTCCCCCTGTCCTCGGACTCTGTCTCGGTAAACAGTCTCTTTTTGATCAGTTGAGATGTCTCAACTGCAAACTCCCTCACAGCAAACACCATTCCATTCAGCTGACACTGTGTATATGTCTTCACAGATGAATCCAATCCTCTGAAATATATACAGAATTTTTTATATTCTTGTCACTTAAAACTATTTCATACAATGGTAGCTTACGTGTCAAAGTTCTACCAATGAACTGTGCATTATGACAGATAACTTCATGCCTTACAAACTGAACTGAAACAATCCAAAATCTGTCTTCATTCTGTATTAGGCCAATAATAAAACATAGGTAATCAAAGATTACGAAGCTCACCTCGACGAATGTTATGTATAAGTAAGGCAAATTTCACATAATATTTTTTTTTTCCTAAATAGGGTACATCCCGAGATCAATACATGGATACATGCAAGTTTGGTTTAAGTAGGACTTATAGTTACTTGGAAATAGACCTGCTCAATAAACTTTTAACCTCTTTAGTAATCAAGATAATTGTCGTCAGTTCCAACATCCAAAGCAAGTCTGGAAGTTTTCATCCTTAGATGCACCATCTATGCAAGTTTAATCATAACAGGCCACAATATTATAAAGCTTCCCCAAAAAAATTACTCTGGTCACTCGTCTGGAAAATGTAGATCAGATTCAGAATCCAAAGCAAGTCAGGAAGTGTCCATCCCTAGAAACACCATCCATGCTAATTTGGTTAAAAAATGGCTAAAATTCACTCATGTGAAAAATCTAGGTCAGATCCAGCATCCGAAGCAAGTGTGGAAGTGTCCATCCCTAGATGCATCATAAATGCAAGTTTGGTCCAGCTAGGGCTTATAGTTACTTGGGAATAGACCTGCTCCTAAACCTTTAACCTGGTCATTCATCTGGAAAATCTAGGTCAGATCCAGCATCTGAAGCAAGTGTGGTATGTCCATCCCTAGATGCATTATACATGCAAGTTTGGTCCAGGTAAGGCTTATAGTTACTTGGGAATGGGACCTTCTCCAAAAACTTTAATTCCTGGTCATTCATATGGAAAATCTAGGTCAGATCCAGCATCCGAAGCAAATGTGGTAGTGTCCATCCCTAGATGCATCATACATGCAAGTTTGGTCCAGGTAGGGCTTATAGTTACTTGGGAATGGGACCTGCTCCAAAAACTTTAACCTGGTCATTCATCTGGAAAATCTAGGTCAGATCCAGCATCTGAAGCAAGTGTGGTATTTCCATCTCTAGATGCATCATACATGCAAGTTTGGTCCAGGTAGGGCTTATAGTTACTTGGGAATAAGACCTGCTCCAAAAACTTTAACCTGGTCATTCATCTGGAAAATCTAGGTCAGATCCAGCATCCGAAGCAAATCTGGTAGTGTCCATCCCTAGATGCATTATACATGCAAGTTTGGTCCAGCTAGGGCTCATAGTTACTTGGGAATGGACCTGCTCCAAAAACTTTAACCCGGTCATTCATCTGGAAAATCTAGGTCAGATCCAGCATCTGAAGCATCTATGATAGTGTCCATCCCTAGATGCATTATACATGCAAGTTTGGTCCAGGTAGGGCTTATAGTTACTTGGGAATGGACCTGCTCCAAAAACCTTAACCTGGTCATTCATCTGGAAAATCTAGGTCAGATCCAGCATCTGAAGCAAGTGTGGTAGTGTCCATCCCTAGATGCATCATACATGCAAGTTTGGTCCAGGTAGGGATTATAGTTACTTGGGAATGGGACTTGCTTCTAAAACTTTAACCGGGACGCCGACACCAACGCCGACGCCGGGGGTATAGCATAAGCTCATCTTGACTTCGTCAAGGTGAGCTAAAAATGATTTGTATGATGTACTTCAACAGACCCATCAAAATCATCCCTGCAAAATCTTTTTTTTTCAGCACTTTGAATTTTTTCTTTAGTTTTGATAGAAATAGAGATTGTTTCATTTTAAAACTAAAGTACTAATATATAATTTTTCTAGGATGCTTTTTTGATTGAAAGTTTTTATAGAAATAAATAAATATTAAGTAGGGCTCCGCGTAAAAATCATGCAGGTAGCACAGAAAAGGCGCTACATCGATAATCTGCAAATTCATTAAAACTGAGTTGAATATATTCATTTGGGTCTAAAATGAATGATAACGAATGGATTTGTTATAATTCTTCTTTTTTCATATAGCTAGGGATAGGGTACTCCAAGGGTAATTTTGTATGGATAGTGTGTAAATAGTGCATATTTCAGAAAATAATTTCTTCTAAACCCAAGAAGATGTATAAAATCTAAACACATAATTACAGTGAAAATGGAAAGTGTAAATTAAATTTACTCTAATATTTTTGTGCAAATGAAGGATTGAAAAGATACAGGGTGTTAAAAATCTGGAATTTGTGAAGATGCTTCGTATGAGTGATCTCCCTTAGGAAATTTATATAGGTGGCGGTAGTTAAAAAAAATGGCGGCCTCCATGAAAAGCTGTACTCTGCAAAGTAATGAAAGTTATTTTGATGCATCATGTGATGTTCATTGCAAATATCCGTGTGAATTGAGTAAAAATGATTGAAAGGAATTTACAAGAACAGATTGGACATAGAGCTCGTGTAAATTAAGAGGAAAAAAATCCGTGAAACGAGAAAGTGTAGCTTGGGAATATTACTGTGATCGTGTTGATAAGGGTATCAGCAATTTTCCTTATTACTGACATCAGTATGGTCTATGTCGGAAGTTTAGCTTCTAATTTAATCCACCAGAAGCCAAGAGTAAGCCCTCAGAGAGGAGTTGCAGTCCGATTGTGTCAGCTTACTCAACTTGGAGAGGGAAGATAATGTACCGGCGCCACCGGTACATTTGGACCGGCCTGCCTAATTGAAGACCTACAGGTAATTGAAGACCTACGGAAGACCTAGGGAAGACCTACAAAAATATGGGCTATATACAGCAAAACTGATGTGATATTCTGATTAAAAATGTCTTAAATATATAAAATACACAAAAAAGTTTTATAAAAAGAGGTTTTAAAGTGTATTTTTCAAGCTCGGTATGGGGAACTATTTCTTCTCTCAGACGACCTATCGCAAGAACGGTAACTCTGGTTAACTTGTAAACAACAACATGTATATTATGGTGAAGTGAACAGGGAAAATGAGAATACACAAAAAAAAATTCAAATGATATTTTTTGAGTTTTCCAATCATTTTTATAATAAAGATATAAGCTGGAATATGAATTTTGATGAGATTGATATGTATAAATTAATATTTCACATTAGATGTATACTGTCAATATTATCTATAGTCAATATTTAATTATAGTTTATTGCAATTCTTCAAACATGTAATATGTTTTATGGGATAAATATTAAATATTTTAATCTAAAATATTGATATGTATACTGTGGATTTGTCTTAAACCATGTAAGGTAAGATATCACTCTGACCTAAAGGCTTCACCACTAATGTGTTATATACACACCCTGAGGATATATCCATGTTTTGATTGCAATTATCAACATACCCCACTTGCTCTGATGAAGTTAATTCACAGTCAACAAAGCAGATATACATTTTTAAAAATCTTTTAATTATATTATCTTAATTCTTACAGAGACACTCATTGTCTGTGCTTCATGAAAGAATAAGATTTCTTAATATAAAATAACTTTTTAAACCTATTAAGTGAAGCAAATAAAAAAACTCAATGAATTTTACATGTGAATAAAATGATAGCATTTTGAAAAAAAAAATTCCAAAATGGTCACTTTTTTCTCTTAATCAAAAACATATTTATATTACAGTGGCAAAAACAATTAAAAAAAATGTATTTTAGAATAACCCGTCATGTACTCCCAGAAATACTACTTAAAATATTAAGAATAACATTAAATAAGGAATATTTTTTAAACACGTAGAGCCAAAATATACTGTATATCGTTCTTGAACATATTTTGATTAAATAAATAACTTACACTGTTTGACCTCTCCTTAAAATAAGATCAATATAATATGTCATAAACTGAAAATAAATATTAACAGATTCAGAAATATGAATATAATAAGACTTTTCAAGTGGAATTCCATGAAATATAAATTAACACGACAATTTAAAATCTACAGAATTAATCAATGAATTTATGGATAGCAACAAGAAATAGTTTAATATATTCTGTCTGTTATTTACATACAAAGTACACAAATTCTTTTTATAAATTAAATAAGTAACATGTAATCACTTAAATGAAATGCATGCATATTTTGAGAAAAAAAAAATCTTTTTTTGCTGTTCAGGCTCAGTGAATGCAAGAAGATTTTGTAAGTGATTGTGGCTCTGATCTTTAAGAAAAAATACTTCCAATTTTTTAAACGTTTTAACACTCTGTCAAAGCATAAACATATTTATTTATGTGTATATAACACATTATTTATTATAATATTTAATTTGTACATTGATATACCAATGAAAATAATTTTGAAAATAAACTAAAATTTTTAAAAAGAAAGAAAGGAATTCGGTTAAAAAAAAAAAAAGAAAAAAAAAAAGAGTCCATGCATAGGAATCATGGAAACTTCTTATAACAATTTAATAATTCATTAAAAAAATATACATATATTTTATGATTGATCAAATTATGGTATTATATAATATGTATATGTCTCTGCTTTGGTTAAGTTTTTTTTTTTTTTTATTTTTTACCAAGTAGAATAATATCTAATTGAATATTCCCTTTTATTATTTCATCTTTGATTTAATTATTTCAAAATATCTTCAATGCTTCTGTTTTTCTTCATTTAACTATTGATTTATTTACATTTTTCTGATGTGTTTTGGTGAACAGCTGATTTGTTATTAACGCGAGTTATCGTTCTTGCGGTAGGTCGTCTGAGAGAAGAAATAGTTCCCCATATCGAGCTTTAAAAATACACTTTAAAACTTCTTTTTATAAAACTTTTTTGTGTAATTTATATATTTAAGACATGATTAATAAGAATATCACATCAGTTTTGCTGTATATAGCCCATATTTTTGTAGGTCTTCCCTAGGTCTTCCGTAGGTCTTCAATTACCTGTAGGTCTTCAATTAGGTATACCCCATTTGGACAGCTGTTTGAACAGCTTGATAGGTAGGATATAGTTTAAATTCACTTCTTATATATGGTTATTGATATTTTATACAGTAAAGTATGTATTGGGAAAATTGTTGGGGATGGCCAGTTCCTACATATATCAATATCATGTCCATTTTGAAAAAAATGACATCTTACACATATATATGTTAGAATAATGTT